ACGAGGAGGGCGGCCTCCGCATCGTTGCCCCCGAGCCAAAGGGCCGGAGGAGCGGGTGCGAGGTGTCGAGCGGCCGCACCTCTGCGCCGCTGCCGCAGAGGGAGCGGCCGCCGCCGGCCGCCGCGGCCCCGGACGACCGACGGCAGAGGAGGGACACCAGCCCTCGCGGGCGGCGCCCGCCGCCGGACCCCGCTTCGGCCTCCGGCGCCAGCGGTGCGGGCGCGGGGAGGGGCGCGGCGGGAGGAGGGGAGGGGAGGCGGACGCCGGAGGGGAGGCGGACGCCGGTGAGGCTGAGGGCGAAAAGGAGAGCGAGAGCTGCGACGGCGACGCCGGCAGCGGAGCAACGGCGGCTGCCGGCTGCGCGGGATCGGGCGAAAGAAGGCGGGAGGCCCAGCGCGCAAGTTGCGGTTGGACGATCGTCTCGCTCCCGTTCGTTCGGTCCTTGCGATCCGTGGCCCGTCTGGGACTCGGCGTCTGCCCGCTCCACCGCGGCCTGATCCGCCAGCCCTGCGCCCTCTGCTACCGCGCCCAGCTGTTCGTCCCCGCAGAAGGCAGAGGCGGAGACGGAGCCGCGGGGCGTGGCAGCTGGCGTGGCAGCCGGCGTGGCTGCCGGAGTCTGCGAGCTGCCCGCGTCGGGCGAGTTAGCGGAGAGGAAGCGGAGGAGCGGCTCCGGGCCGGCGGCGGAGACGAGCGAGACGGGCAGCGCAGAGAGGTACGCGCGGAGCAGACTCTGCATCGACGCGGCGCGCGAGTTGAGGAACTTGAGCTCGAGCATCTGGTGGGCAAGGCGCAGTCCGTGCGAGGAGAAGTCCGGGATCGGCACTCCCGACGCGCGCAGAACGTCGGCGTGCTTGGCATTCAGCTCTGCCACCAGGATCCGCAGGTCGCTCCAGCGTCGGCGGATGCGCCACTCCCTTTCGCCCTCGCTGACGAGCACGCGGTAAACAGCGTATGGGCGCGCCTCTCCGCAAAGCTCGTGTCCCTCCACCGAGCAGAGCACCACCACCTCGACAGGAGTGCCCACGACGGCTTGGTTCACAAGCCGTGGCATTCGTGGCTGGGCGGAGTTTAAAAACAAAGAAAACGCGGGCGGCCCAAGTGGCGCAGAGCGAGGCGGCGAGAACCGAGCGAGCACGTGAGCCCCGTGGCTCCAACCAGGCCCTTCCTTTTATGAGCAGGTGTGACGCCGCGCGAGCGACGCTCCGAGATCGCCCGAGATAGCGCGAGATCGCCCGAGATCGCGCGGCGCGGCCCAAGGCGAGGTGGATGGGTTGGGAGGGGGGGGCACAAGTGCTCAGTGCGGTAGAGGGTCAGTCCGGGGCGCAAGAGGTGGCCTGTGAGCCATCCGGCTTACATTTACCCTGCGTTGTTGAGCCAGGACTCAACATACTCGTTCTGTTGCCATCCCAATCTGAGAGAGAGAGAGAGATTTTTAGCAATACCAAACAACTCTAACACTCACACGTCATTTGGGGCCTGGAGCCCTGTTCACGCGCGCGCGAGACGTGCAGACAGGGTTGCCAGGTGAGAGCGAATGGCGCGGTTCACGCCTCGCACAACAGAGAGAGAGATGCGCTCTGCATGGTGGGACATAAAAGAAAGCGAGTACTTGGGCGAGTAGGCCGTGCGGTCAACGCTGCCGCGCGCGACTTTGCGCGCGAGGCGGCGCAGCTTGAGAACGGCGGTGGGCGAGAAGCCGCCGCCGAACGTCTCGTGGAGCAGCAGGTTGGAAGTTGTTGCGCTTGACAAAGATCGCGTCGTGGTAGAAACCGCGATGCGCCTTGACGTAGCCGTGGCCGTTCTTGTGGTCGAAGGGTTGGCCGGGTTGCCCGCGCGCCTTGCAGCCCATGTTTAGGCGGCGGGCCTTCTCTTCGGTGTTGCCGAAGGCGTAGGAGTGGCCAACGGAGGCGGGCGTGCCGCCGCTCGAGGCGTTGCCAACGCCCGCCGAGGAGGTCTTGAGGAGGGGCGTCCAGAGCTTGACTTCATTCACCTCATCGCATCCTCCCGGGCCAGCGTGGGGTTCCGCGAGGTCGACCTTGTACCCCTCGTTGTACTGCCGGGTGAGCTCTGGTTTCTCCTTGTCACCGTGCACGACCGGCGCGTTGGCCGGGGCGCGCATCGCGTCCGCCCAGGCGGCGAGGACGCCGTCGTGGGGCCGCCGGTGGTGGGCCTTGTTGTAAAGGTAGTCGCCGAAGAAATCGACTGGCATGCCCCGCTCGAGCGCGACCCGAAGGGTGGGAAGCGCCACGTTGTGTTTGTGTTTGCCAATCTGTCTGTCTGTCACTCCCCTTTCTCCCGGCCGGGGTGGGGCGCGCGCGGGGGCGGCAGGTGTGCGGCGAGTGTGCGGGATGTCTGTGGGCCCGAGAGCGATATGCCATGTCCGCCTTGCGTTGTTTCATAACATCGAAGGCTAAGCTAAAAAAACAAAGAAAAAACGGCAATTTTTCGGTGCTGGTAGCCCCCCCAAAACAGGCGCGCGCAGCGCGCCCAGGGGCGCCGCAGGCGCCCCAAGCGGCGCGGAGCGCCGCCGCAGGCGGCGGACAGCAGGGGCCCGGAATTAAACGCCATTTTTGGTTCCGCGGTTTTGCCACTAACATTGAAATCCGGTACAAAACGACTTAGCCGAAACAGCTGACAGGCAGACAGAGAGCACACACGTTCGAGACGGGGGTGCGCCGACCGCCGTCGCGGACCCAGTAGAGCTAGATGGTCCCACAGGACGCGCCCTTAGCCTCTGAGCTCGTCCTAGACGTTTTAGGGGAAGCGTGGGCAGACCAGAACGCGGCCACGGCGACGCTCCGAGGCTGTCAGCAGCGCTGGCGGCGATCGTGGCGACGGCGCCTCGCCGCGGCAGCGGCACAGAATCGAGGAGGTGGCGTTGGTGGCAGCATCAATGAGATATGAAGGCGGCCGCAATGCTGGTGGCGCCTTCGAGGGCGGCGGAGAGGGCGGTAGCAGCGACGGCGATCGAGTCATGTGGCAGGGGTGCGAAGATGCAGCAGGGAGGCTTGAGTTAGCGACGCGGGGCGGTGGCGTGCCAGCAGGTAAGCGGCGGCGGCGGAGAGCAGGTGCGCGAACTAAAGGCCAATCTTGAGATATCCATTTTGCACCACCTTTGGATTTCTGGTACAAATTGACTTGTGGATCTTGAAGGCACGCGCAAGAGCGCACCGTGCAAGTTGAATGAACCTCGGCTCAAAATGCGGATCTCGCTGCCGCTAAGCGTGGCATCGATGATCAAACGAGCGGTGACAGTAGCGGTGGCAACGGCGGCAGCGTCGACCGGAGCACCTACTGCGGTGTGAAATGTGAGCTGGGAGGCGGGAGGCAGGGCCGGAGGCAGATGCAATAGGAGCGGGAGAGTGAGATCGTCAGCCAGCACGGCAGACCTTTACGGCGCGGCTGCGGGCGCGTTTGCAGTGACATGCGCGATCCATGTGGTAGCAAAGGCACGGCGGGAGTAGCGCGTATGCAGGCTGTGAGCGAGGGTGGCGCGTCGCGAGTGGCGGTGCAGCTAGTCGGTGGCGCGGGTGCTGGCGACCGGCGGAGAGATGCAGCCGGCGCGAGAGATGACCCTGCGGAGAGGCGAGGTGACGGGCGAACCGCGACGGTGGGAGAGGGCTGAGCATCGGCTTCACCGGAGGCACAGGAGCCTCGCACGCCCGACCGTGACGAGAGCGACCTAACGCTGCTTCATGAAGCAGCGTTAGGTCGCTACCAACACCGAATGGGTACCCTCCCGAAAAAACTCACGCTCGTGCGTGCGTGCTTCTGGCGTGCTTGCGTCCCAGAGTGCCCTCGCGCAGAACCAACGCAGCTCTCACAACTCATCAGCACTCCGTTCTCGTAACTACCATCCGGCCGCAATCGGCCCTCAGTGCCGGCCACGGGACCGGGAATGGGCGACGCTGACGGCCCGGAGGAGAGACCTGCGCTGCTCAGGACACTCGGCATGCGAGTCTGCGAGACTCACTCACACCGGACGCGGCGCATGCGGGTGGCTTGCAGCGGGCGGCACAATGCACGCGCTGACGGAAGACGAGATCTGGCACGACCCGTGGCAAGAAGCAGCTGCTGAAGGTGCCGTGCGACGGTGGATCGAGGAGAAGAAGCACCGGTCGTCAACTACACTACGCAAGCTGTGCCGCCTTGGCGAGCCCCGGGATGTATCCTCGTGCGGCCTTTGGCGTCTGCAGGTCTTGCTGGAAGAACATGCGCTCCTGCCGCCAGGCCTCGCCGTGCCCGAAGATGTTTAGCGCGCCACGCGTGGCGCCGCCGGGCTCGTCTGCGCCGGGCATCCGCTTGAGGGCAGAGATGGAGGGCCACTGCGTCTCAACCGGGAGGGGTGCAGGCCTTCGCCTCGGATCACCTGCACGTATTCCTCCGGGTCGGAGCAGATGTAGATGGTGCCGTGCACACCTTCTCCGACGCCAGGAAACCCCATCGTACAGAAATGGCCCATTTTGGAGTAGCCGTTGGCGAACATCAAATAAATGTCCGGCGCATTCGCGCGCGCCGCCCGCCGCTGCAGATGCCACACGTTGTCTGCCGGGAGGTTGAGCATACTGCCAATGACAGGATATGATCGGAGGCCAGGTGCCTGAGCCACGGAGCTCTGACGTCGAAGCAGCCGGCCCATGATGGCGGCCGCCCGGCGTCCCGCCTTTGGTGCGCAATTCATCTGGTCGATAGAGAGCGAGGCCCAAGCGCAAACCGACATTACCACGAGAGGACCACCATCGCCGCCACCCTGGCGGCGGCGGCGCGCGAGCCGCCGCCCGCGCCGCCGCCCCGGGGACGTTGGGGGCCCCGCCGCAAACCCCGTGCACCACAACCCCAGCGGGCGAGTCAACCGGCCCCGCGCGGCCGAGCAATCAGCGCCTCCGAGCGCGGCCGCGCGCACCGCCGGTAGGAAGACCGGCGGGCCGCTCTACGGCGCGGCGGCCCCCGGTGGCGGCGGTCGGCACTACCAAGCCGACCCCGCCGCGTGCCTTCCGCAACCCTCGGGCTCCAATGCCATCCATACGGAAACCTGCCCCGCGACACACTTCTGGGAGAAGAAGCCCCTCCGCTGCGGCAGCGTCTCGGACCTCTCCGACAAATCCCGGTCACCCCGACCCCCCTATACCCCCAACCCCACCCACCGGGCACAAACTCCCACATCGATTCACTACACCCCGCACAGCAGGCCGCGCCTCGTCATTGCTGCGCTCGGCAGATGCGCTCGGCAGATGGGGCACGTGTTGAGCTCCGCGAGCGAGCGGTATCCGGTTGAGTTGCTTCATCTGAATGTGTCGGCGAGCAGTTTCTCGTACTCTTTCTCGACTCTTTCTCGGCGAGCAGTTTGAAGGCGGCGTCAGGCTTCGGGCGGAAGAGCCCCAGCGAGTGCTGGTACTCCAGCGTGTGGTAGTAGCGCTCCGCGGTCTGCTTGTAGCTGCGCGGCCCCCCTTCCTTGCTGTCCAGATAGTCGTGCATGAGCATAAGCGTGTTGCGATGCGCCAGTTTGAGTGCGTACATTGCACACGCCTCTCGGAATCGGCCATCGATCAGGATGAGATCGTAAACGCCCTGATCGCCGAATGCGTTCGGTCAACATGGCGATGCGTTGCTCCTGGTGGCAACGAACATAAATTACTATACCCCGCCACATCGAAATGGAGCAAAAGGAGCCTTAAGTTCTCAGGGCCCTCACGGCCCGCCAATGGCAAACCCGACTCCCTCCATACTGTGTTTCGCCTTCCTATCTATCTATCTATCCGTCCGTGTGGCGCCGCCCGATGGTGCCGGGAACCCTATTCCGGAGCGATTTTTTTTCCCTAGCTAGCTAGGGTTAGCGTAGCTCGATCGGTCACACCGCCATCGCCGTCGGGGAGAGGGGGGACGACACTGCTTCTGCAGCGTGCACCTCGATCCTGTACCGTGTTTGTTATGACCCCCCCCAATGAACACACCAGTGAGGGTGGGCGAGACGATCGAGGGGTCCCGTACCATGCGGAATCGACCCTATCCGGTGCTCAAGTGCTCAAGGGTTAGCGCAGAAAAAGCCGGCCCCCTTAGCTCCGCAGCCGACCACGAGGAAGGGCGACTTAGGGTTAGTATAGCGGGCGGGTTAGCGGGCCGAGAAGGCCGCCCACACACACCCGCGAGGATGGTTGTGGTGTGTTTGCCTCCCTCCCCGACTCGGACGGCCGCCTCAGAGGGCGGGAATGCTTCCTCTCTCTCGCCCTCTCACCCGCGGGAGATTTTCAGTGTATATGTAGCTCTTACGTACATTTCCTCCCAGTACGTACTTTTAGCTTACTGAACACAACCCCCTCTCCCTTCTCTCCCAGTAAGCTGAAAGAACGTACATTTTTTTAGGGGCCAAGAGAACACAATCTCTCTTTTCTCCCAGTCTCTCTCTCCCAGTAAGCTAGCAAAGTTACATTTTGCAAAGGTAAAACTTACAAATCAAACGTATTGGCCAATTCTGAGCATTTCTGCGAGTCCGGTGCCACCGGCCTGCCTGCATGCCCTCTCCCTGCGAGTCGCTGCGTCAGCAGGGCCCACCTCTCGTGCTGATATCTCTCGTGCTGGCCCCTCGCAGGCATGGCCACGGAGGCGTGGCTCGCCGCAGGCGCGGCTCGCTGGACGATGCAATGGCATGCATGGCATGGCCTGCCGCCTTCGTCCATCAAGGATCCCATCCCGAAAGTAAGTCTCGGCCTTCGCCTTGCACACTGCACCCGGGTGCAATCTGTGGAGCCCTCTGCACTGACCGCTCAAATTCGTTGGTTTGCGCAGGGCGACGATGGGTGGAGCACCGTCGCTCCGACAAAGTCGATCTTGACGGCGAGCTTGGTCGAGTCCGGATCTAAGCCCGTGGACGCCGTGCGCCACTCCAACAAGTACGGCCCCTTCAAGACGGGCATCTCTGGCAAGGCGTCCGGCGGCTCCAAGTCACACCCCCACGCCCGGACGGTGCGTGCACTTGTAGACAACTCTCCTCTGGCCGGCCCTCAATTGTGCTTGACGGTTGTGTGTGCGTGTGTGTATGTAGGGCAAGCCGGTCTCACCAAGGCCGATGGCGTCGACACCGGCCAGCTGCGCCAGCATCTTCCACGTGCTCCTCCTCAACTTCCTGCGGGCTCGCGGCGCGGTTTCGTCCGCCGCCTTCCGCCTCGCCGCCGTCACGGCGTGCCTCCACTTCCTCCCCGCGAGCCCGGCGGCCTCGGCCTTCTCGTCCGCCGTCGCTTCGACGGCGTCCACGCTTGTGAGCAGCTACTCGCCGCTCATCGTGCCCGCCCTCGTGATCGCCCTCCTCGTCATCGCACGCGGTGATTCCTGGCCCGTTCGGAGCGGAGCGGCGGCCGTCTGCCTCGCCGCCGCCGCGGCGTGCCTCCCCGGCGCAGCAGCGGCCACCGTGGAATCCTCCGTGATGACGCTCCCGCTCCAGCCCAAACCGCTCCACCAACAGGAGTTTGAACAAGTCTCAAGCAAGGGGGATGTCTGCGAGCGATTCGGATGGCAGCCCCGGCAGCGTCCGCGGCGCCTCTTCGTTGGGAGTCTGATTGCATCCGAGCCATCTTCAGTGCTCGAATTGACTGCCTCTGAGATGGCTGGCATCGTCTCCTTCGTCTCCTATGTTGACACTCGCCGTCGGCTCGCAGCTTTGGGCTGCTTGCTCAACCCCATCGTCCGAGTCGTGCGCAATCTCGCGTGACCCACCCTCCTCTTCCCTTGCACGCGAGGGTTCTCTGATTGTATATGTGGACAGGGGGTGTCCTGTCCTCACGGCGTCGGCGCATGTGTGTGTTGTGGTTCCCAGTGTGGGGCCTGTTTGAGCGCCGACGCCGGGGTCGTGTGGCGATGTGCCTCGGGAGCTCCAGACGCAGCTCTCGGGGCACGCCAACCCAGGAGATTTATAAAGGACCAATCAACAAATACAACCAACGATCAGCTGGAGAACTCGGACGCGATGGATAACTTGGTTTTCTCTCTCGTAATGTCAATGCGAGCTTGTTCTGCCCGCCAAATCTCAACCGTGCGCCTCGTTCTTGCAAGCCGCTCTTGAGCGCGGCGTTTCATCCTTCTCAGCGCTATCCACAGCCGTGTCACAGCCTTGATCAACCTGTCCTGTAGCGCAGAGTCCCCATTAGCCTGCGCTGCGATCAGCTGGTGAGTGTTGTAGTTGAGGGGCATTTCTTTTTCTGTTTAGAACTTAGCGTGACACGCTCCCAAGGCCAAGCGTGACACGCTCCCAAACTAAGCGTGACACGCTCCCAGATCGCAATCTCCCCAGGGTTCGGCTCCAGTGTGGAGGGGAACCCCTACCCCCAGGACGCGCGTCTCGGGACCATATGCATTCGTTGCATTTTGCGCGTGATTGCATTTCGTTGCATTATGCAATACTAGCTGAGGGGCTCGCTAAACGCTCGAGCTCCATGCTGTGCAACACCACCTCCTCACTAATCGTCAGGGGCGCGGAGAGCGCAGTGCACTGCGGTGAGGCTGCGCCGCGGGGGCTCGCCCCCTGCACCGCGCTCAGAGCGGCGTAGGGGAGAGGGCGGTCGGTGGCGGCGGCGGCGAGGCGCGAGGCGGTGGCGGCGGTGGTGCGGGCGGCGGGATGACAGGGGAGGCGGCGGGATTGACAGGGGAGGCGGCGGCCACGAGCGGAGCGGCGCGAGAAGGGGGGGGGGGCGGCTGCGAGGCGCCGGTGAGCGAGGCGCCCGCGCCATCAGAGGGACGCGCCGCTGCGAGATGGAGGGCGGCGGTGACGGAGGCGAGGCGCGAGGCGGCGGCGGCGGCGGCGGCGGCGGCGGCGGCGGCGAGAACGGCGGCACCGAGTCTCGGTGAGCGGCGGCGGGAGGAGGAGCAGCGGCAGCGCTCGCTCGCTGTTGACGGGAGCGCTTTTGAGCCTGGGAGGAGCCCATGCCACTGCGACCGGCGTGTCCGGGAACGGAGATCGCACGCGCGCCGCCACTCACGACGCGCGCGCGATCTTCGCGGAGTCGGGTCCCCAGAGGGAAGCGGTCTTCTCGGCCGACGTCCAGCGGCGCGCAAGGAAGCAGGCGCAGCGGAGGCAGCCTAGCACCGGCTCGGCGCCGGGCGGTTGCGCTGCCCGCGAGCCGCGTCCTGAGCCTCGGCAGCGCGCTGCGCGGCGCGGCGCTCGCGCTGCTGCGGTGCCGAGAGCGGCATGATGGATCGCCAGCTGAAGCTCGAGACTCCTCGGGTCCGCGAGTTCTGGGGGTCACGGGGATAAGCTTCTAGCTGCGGGGCTCGCTAAACGCTCGCCGAGCTCCATGCTGTGCAACACCACCTCCTCACTTACCCCTCCTTTCCACTGTCCCCCCCCTTGCCCTTTGCCCTCGGCATGTGAGGGTGCTTTACTTCTGCTTGTGTGTGTCGTAGCGTGTCTATCAGAGCCCGAACGCATTCCCGTTATCGAATACGGACCCGATTTTTGGAATCTCCACGTACGTAGTACCTACGTACCCCAGGGTACCTAGGCACCTAGCCAAAGTTTCACTTTGGCACTGGTGCTTAGGCCTTGTTCACAGCTAAAGCCCAACTTTGGCACGGCCTGGTTCACAGCCAAAGTCCCCGCAACTTGGCACTACGGGCACATACGGAGCACGCGACAGTGTATCTTGCCGGCTCTGACTCTTGGTCTCTCTCTGCGACGGGAACAGCGGACGATGCGCAACACTCGACTTTGGCGACAGCTGCAGGTTACGAGCGCAGCGCCGTCGCCAGACATGCCGGAAGTAACACTGCACCGACACGTTGCACTGGAGGTAGCGGCCTATGGTCCTGGCCAAAGTATGGGCTTTGGCAAGGTCGACTGTGGTAGGGACGGCGTCAGCGCGATTTCGGAAGCACAAACGCCACACACCACACGCCTGATCGACGTCGTATAGCGCGGCCAAAGTGACGACTTTGGCGACGGCTTCGGCTGCACGTGAAGTGAACGCTACGTCGAGACAACACGGTCAAAGTATAGTCTTTGGCAAGGTCGGCTGCGGCTCTCACCCTCGTCGTCACGAGCTTAAGCACGCCACAGGCCACCAGTCGCCGCGCCGTGCTGCTCGGCGGCTCTGCGTGCGCAGGAGTCCCGGCTGCTGCGCTCCTCGGGTCCGCGAGTTCTGGGGGTCACGGGGATAAGTCGCGTCTAGCTAGACAGCGGCCGTTACGCCTTTCGCAATGCGCGACATTGCACTCTTCCGCGTTGCTCGCTCGCCGCTGCGGAGGACATGGGCGCCGATGCGGCTCGCGCTCACTCGGCCTAGGGCGGTCGGTGGCGGCGGCGGCGAGGCGCGAGGCGGTGGCGGCGGTGGTGCGGGCGGCGGGATGACAGGGGAGGCGGCGGGATTGACAGGGGAGGCGGCGGCCACGAGCGGAGCGGCGCGAGAAGGGGGGGTTTTTCGGCATCTCCCATAACGGGCCGGGAGACGGAGACGGCGTGGACACAATCGTACCAGGCGCGAAGTACGCCGTCGTGTGGGCGCCGCCGGGCGGCGTTGTTGAGGAACCAGTCGCCATGGTAGTCCTTTGCACCACCGACTTGTGTCCCCAAATCGAGTGCCCGCGTGACAGTCGAGCGGCACTGCGAGAGGTGAAGGCCGTTTCGGCGCTGAAGCTCGCCGATGAATATCTCGTCTGGAATGCATGTGGCGTTGCTGCCGTCGAGTTTTGTGTCGAGCCACCGCCCCGCGTAAGGCTGCGCAGTTGACACGTAGCGGATGGACTCGCGTAGACGTATTTTGGTGTCGCCGGGCTGCCAGTTGGCTGCCGTGTAGTCGTCGAGGGCGCGCCACTCCTTCTGCAGATCGAACCAGTTCCAGATAGTCTCGATGGCAGCAAGCGCCCGCGCGTACGGGCTTCCTGATTTGCAAGTGCCATCGATGACTGACTCCGGTGTTGGAAGAGACTCAGAAGTGGGGAGGCTGACGCCCTTGGGGTAGAACTCAGAGATCTTGCCGCCGCGCAAGGTGTAGTAGATGTTGTCGTCGCGCGCGGCTCGGACGGAGGCCACCTCGTCTCGCCTCGCAATGTACGTACTTTTAGCTTACTGGGAGAACTCTCTCTCAATTAGGGGTGCCTAACGTTAATTTGGGGCCTAACAGTTGCGCTATTGTTGGCTGAAATCCTCAGCGTTGTTCAAGTGTTCATCCCAGCCCATGCTGTTACTGTTTGTTACTGTTGTTACTGACTGTTGTTCCGTGGTCAGCAAGCAGAAAATGCCAAAACCCCCGGGTAATACCCGAAAATACCTGGGAGTTTCCGGGTATTTTCGGGTATTACCCGCACTGGACACTAAGAGATCGTCGTGGGTCACTGCCAGGCCTTCCTTACTGTTGTTCAGCCGGCCTAACGTTAGCTACTGTTGTTGGGGAGCCCCACTGTTGTTCTGTTGTTAGCACCGTTCAGCTCCTAACGTTAGGCGACCCTACTCTCAATGTAGAGCCGTATGTGGCTCTTTCTTACGTACATTCCCGGAGGAGGACTGCTGACAGGGGCTCTGGGGGGGCGCGGGGGCCCCCGGAGGCACCGTGCGCCGCGCAGCACTGCGGAAACGGGGCTCTCCGGCTCTACTAGTCTCTACTAGCACCAACTTTCCGATTAAGCTAGGTTAATCAGAGGGCAGATTTGGAGAGATCTCGAGGAGTACACACAGATAGACCCTCCAATCATCAGAAACCTCCGACCTGATCGGTCGTACTGACCCGTGACCGCCGACAGATCACTCCAGACAGCAGACAGGCCGACGTCTGCACACGGCCGGCCGGGCGAGAGGCTTGACACGATCCGACCCTGCGACCCTGACGCTGCTGCTCTAGCTATCAGACATGCGCTGCTGACTGCTGCCACAATGTGCGACCGGTGCTGACCCACTTGGCGGCCTTCCCGGTCAGTGGTGAGGCGCAGTTCAGAGCTGTCGATGGCGCGATGCCGCACTGGTCCCACATTGGTGACACGAGACCACCACGTTTGCCGGTCCAAGAGAGAGGCACCGGCGCTGTCCTGAGAAGGTGCATGGTCCTTCTTGACTGCCCATGCGCGCGAGGCTGCGTAGGCATAGCCTCGAGAGTGCCAGCAGCCAATCCGAGGCAGTTTGTGACGCGCATTGCGTCAGAAGCGTGCACGCGGCTGGAAGGACACCTTCCTACTGGCCGTACGATCAGGTCGTCACTGAATGCTGGATACTAAGGCCGCGAGCTACGCAGGTGATCAATTGTGCAGCATGGCACGGTCAGCAGCGCCGACAGGCTGTCGCAAGGCGTGATAGCATGGCCGAAATTCGCCGAATTCCCATGAAAACAAGTAAAAAATCGCGCAAAAAAGAAACAAAATCTTCCAAAAATCGGCGCCTGCGGCGGGCCATGGGACCCCATCTCCCCCCCGCATGGATGCCCTCTGGGGCCCCCGCGCCCTCCCAGAGGACAGGGGTTTGCGATGAGGAGTTTTTGCAACTACGGCTCTATAGTCAGCCGGAATTCCGGAAACAAATACACCGCCTCAGAGTCAGACACGTTCCAGAGAGCAGAGTACCGAAAAGTAAGAGAAGAAAAATCGTCAGCGTCTCTCACCCCACCGCAAAGTCGCGCTCGCTCAGCTCCTCCTCCTCTGCCACCGCCGCGCCGCCGCCGCCCTCGACGGCTCCCGCAGAGCTGAAATTTAGTACCCGCAGCCGCCGGCCCCGCCGCCCCGCCCAGAGCTCGCCCGCCGCGGCGTCGCCCTTCGCCGCCCGGGGCCGCAGCAACGATGACCAATGCAGCGCCAGCGCGGCGTCCGCTGCGGCGGCCGACGCCGGCACGATCCAAGCGGAGCCGTCGCCTGCGCCGTCCGTGCCGCTGCCGCCGTTCGCGTCGCCTCTGCCCGCGCTGGAGGAGGTGGCCGTGTCGGGTGGCGTGTCGGGAGCCCCCCACTCGTACCCTGCGGGGGGCGGGGCTGCGGCGACGGCGCCGCCGGAACCCACAACGTTTCCGGAGCCCTCGGCGCCGTCGGCTTCTAGCGCGGCCTCTTCCCCAGCCGCTGTGCCCGCGCCCGCCTCCCCAGCCGCCGCCGCCTCTGCCGAGCCAGGCATGCGTGTCAGCGAGGCGACCACGCGCATGCGCAGGAGGTCGGAGAGCGCGCCATCCACGTCGAGGCGGGCGCCGCCAGTCTCGATCGACCGCCGCGCCTCGCGCTCGAGGCTCCTCCTGTTCACACCCACACCACGAGTGAAGACACGCCGTTGCCGTACTCCCGACAAGCCCGCCCGCCGCCCCCTCCTCTCCAGGGGCGGGCCCCGCCGCCGCCGGAGCCAGTTCAGCAGGGTTGCGGCGCGGCGCGCGCGCTGCGTAGCGGCCTGCTGCTGCAGGTAGGGCACGACGGAGGCGGCGCCACGCATGGCGAGGTGTGAGGTGCGGAAGCGGTTGAGGAGCAGCTCGTACCTGCCCGCCGATCTCGAGTGATCTCCGCCAATCTCAGGTGATCTCGGGTGGCATCGCGTGGTCTCGGGCGATCCCGCGTGGCCCTCGAGCATCTCTCGGGTGATCTCGTTCGATCTCGGGGGACGGCCACACGCACCGCGTGAGGGCGTTGTGGTAGCCAAGCGACGTGCGCAGCAGCCAGACGGCGAGAGAGACGCCCGCGATGACCTGTGCATGGCCGCTCGCGCGTGAGGAGACGCCGTCGTCCACACTCTCGACTGGCGCGGGCCGGGGCGCGACGTTGAAGCACGGGCGGCCATAACCTCGGGTGACCTCGCCTTCTGTCTCCGTCTCTGTCCGTCTCTGTCCGTTTTCGCACGCACCTCCTCCTCTCTCTCTCTCTCTCCCTCCCTCTCCCTCTCCCTCTCCCTCCCCCCCCCTCTCCCGTCCCCTCTCTGTCTGTATTCACGTTGAGCCGCGGGCGGCCACCCAGGAGCGCGCGCGAGGCCCAGAGGGCGTAGCCGAGGGTGGAGAGCGAGATGAGGTCGAGCCTGTGTGCAAGGCACCGGGGCGTGGAGGAGACGCTGCTCACCAGCCGAGGGCGGAGAGCGGGGAGGGGTGTCGAGCCGCAGCGCGTCCGCCGCGCGGAAGCACACGCGCGAGCCTACTCACATGCATCGGCCGCTCGAGGGCAGGCTGTCCGCACCTGTCGGCGCGCAGTACACACGCGCGAGCCTGGCAGGACCACGCCGAGGTTGGCCATCGGCACCTCCTCAAAGATCTCCATCTCAATCGACGGCAGCGACGACGGCGGCGAGGATCGCCGCCGCTGCCCCAAAGCGCCCTCGCGCTCCCCTCGCCGCCGGCCAACCAAGACGGAAAGGGCGTCCCGCAGCAACCGGCGGGGCGGATCCGCGGCGGGCGGGCGGCGGCGCCAGATGAGGAGCACTTGCTCGAAAGTTGGCTCGACGAGCTCGCACTTGCGGAAGAGGGACGAGGCGAGCCGCCGCTTGCCGCCGGTTGTGCCGATGGACACCTCGTCCGCGATCGAGACCCGCTCGACCAGCTGGCCGCCTGCGCCGCCGCCGCCGCCGCCGCCATCGCTGACCTCAAACGGAGCGAGGCCGTCGAGCTGCGCCGACGCGTTGAGGCCGGCCGCGTAGCGTCTGACGGCGGCGAGGGGAGAGTCGGAGAGCCACCTACGCACGGATGGAGGACGCTGCCTCACAGCGTGCGGTGAGGTGCGAGGCGGAGGACGGCCGCGCACGTGTTTTGGAGATGGACCGCTTTCTGCCACCAGAACCGGTCGACCACCCTCTCCACTCCCGTCCCGCGCACAAACGCTAGGATGCGCCCTCCGAACGGCTCGCCCGCGGTCGCGCCGCCACCGCCGCCGCCGCCGCCGTCGAGCCGCTCCCTCACAACCTGCTCCAGCGACGGCCTCAGCCCAAGCGCCTCGCCGATGTTTTCGTCGAGTTCTGCCAGTCGTGGCCGATCGAGCGCGACGCGGAGGAGATACCCCGTGTTGAGGGCGGCGGAGAGGCGCATGTCCCGCATCGAGAGCGGCCGCCAGCCGCCCACCTCCAGCCACAACCGCACACCAGACACGTCCATCTCCAAAGTTTCTGCCTCAAAGATCCTCCGCAGCTCGTTCTCGCCCGGCGAGGCTACCGGCAGCGCCGCGCCCGCAGGCACGACGAGCTTGCGCACTCCGATCGAAGAGGCGAGGAGCAGCAGCATACACGCAGACCGATAACACAACCCCGAGACGCACAAGCACAGAAGTCGAGAAGCTATTCACACCTTGAGCACTTGAGCACTGGATAGGGTCGGTTCCGCATGGTACGGGACCCCTCGATCGTCTCGCCCACCCTCACTGGTGTTTTCATCGGGTGGGGTCATAACAAACACGGTACAGGATCGAGGTGCACGCTGCCGAAGCAGTGTCGTCCCCCCTCTCCCCGACGGCGATGGCGGTGTGACCGATCGAGCTACAAGAGGAGCTCGTTCAGCAGGATACGGGGAGGTCTGGCGCACTACCTCACTGGGCCTGAGACCGCCGGGACAGTACCCGTCACCGTCTCGAAGAAGATTCAAGAAGATTCAAGAAGATTCAGACCTCGCAGATCGCCCCAACCTCCACTTGCCCGGTCTGCCTCGAGGAGATCCCGACCAATGAAATAGACGACCGCGGTGCCATGGGCGTCATCAACATGTTTCCGTGCGGCCACACGCACAGTCGAGAAGCTATTCAGACCTCTATCCTTTTTGCTACCCGGTAGATCTATCCTTTCTTTTAACTCCACTGGCGGTCTCATCTCAGTCTAGTGACCTGCCTCCAGCTTCCCGCTGGCAGTCTCTCCTACCACAGGCACACTTGTGGAGCACTTGGAGTGCAGTCATTAACCGCACATCCAGGGCCGGGGAGCTAAGAAGCGCACCCAGCGGGCCGGATGATTGGCATCGGGCTACGGGCTAGAGAGCCCTGACCCCTAGGGGGGGTGCGCGGTGCAGGGCCATAACATGGGTCTCCGAGGGTTAGTTCTGCGCTCCGGGTTTCCCCCAGCGGCGGATTTTTTCCCTCGCGCTGTGGGTCCCCCGAGGCCCGCGAACTATTTTTTTTGCGGCACGCGCACAGGGCCTCCGCACAGGCTCTCACTCCTCCTGCCCCACTCGCCCCGGCCGGGGAGCGGCGACGCGCACCGGGGGCGTCGCTGTGGAACCGCGCCGTCGCCGGCGCCCTCCTCCGCCGCCCCGCGCTCTCGCCTGGCTCCCGGCTGCGCCCGGCGGGGGCGGAAAGCGACGGGCAAAGTGGGCGCTTGGCGGGGACAAAGACGCGTGCGATCGGCTCCCGCCCGGGCCGCGCGATGTCGGAGCTCATCCATGGCCCAGTCGCCGGCGCCGACCTCCTCCCCCCTCCCCCCTCAGGCACTCCTCGCTGAGCCGCCATGTCCAAGCGTGGTCGCGCCGGCTCGATGGGCAACAAGTTCCGCACGACGCTTGGTCTGTGCGTGGGCTCGGTGATGAACTGCGCGGACAACACCGGCGCCAAGAACCTGTACATCATCTCGGTCAAGGGCATCAAGGGCCGCCTCAACAAGATTCCCGGCGCGACGTGCGGCAACATGGTGATGGCGACTGTCAAGAAGGGCAAGCCGGAGCTGCGCAAAAAGGTGATGCCGGCGGTGGTGGTGCGGCAGCGGCGGACGTGGAGGCGGGTCGACGGCGGCGGGTACATCTACTTTGAGGGTGCGCGCCGCCCCAGACTAGCGCCCCCAGCGAACACCTTCACCACATGCTAGAGGGGGGGGGTTCCCGACCCCCCCAGCGCCTCCACCACATGCTGGGGGGGGGGTCATGGGGCCGAGGACCCCCCAGAGACTCGTGGTCAAAGGCCCTCCGGGCCCTTGATTTTACACCTCATTTCGCAGCATTTTCGAGGGGGAAATCATCCTTTGGAGCTACATGAGCCTTGAGACTGGTCAGATTCTCCAAGATATTGGACTTTCAGCCACGATTTCACAACTTTGGGGCAAAATCGGCTCTCTGGCGGCTATTCCTAGCCCACGAACTGCTGGGGGGTGCCCACCACATGCTAGGGGGGGGGGGTCCGACCCCCCCGAGGCTTCACCACATGCTAGGGGGGGGGGGCCCGACCCCCCCAGAGGCTTCACCCCATGCTAAGGGGGGGGTGGGGCGTGGAAAAAAACCCGCCCCCCTCCCTGGAAGCGATGTGCGCCTGCTCCCACCCGAGCCCGGGCAGGGAAGTCGGGCGGAGAGGTTCTGACTGGCGACCCCGTCCCCC